CAATGACTTTTTATTCGTGTCTATCCCTCCTGGTACTATCACAACTCGCAAAGAGGAAACAACAGCACAGGCAGAAAGACTCAGACACTGCAGAAGGAGAGAATAGTCTATGGCTCCTCCAGCTTTCTCACGCTTTATGGATGCAAATCGCGGGGGCCGGGCCAGTGCTTCCGATGCAGAGAAAGGAATACACCATAGAATTATACTAGGAGGCACGATAAATTCTATGTGTATACGTTTCATGAGGGAATATGACCTTCGCTCGATGGATGATGATTTAATTGGGGAAGGACTAGTAAGTTGAAATTAGAGGGTGATATTGCCGTTCTGTATGTTCAGTTCTTCAGTGATTCGTGTGAGAGATCGGTGGGTGGTCCTGTTACTCTTGCTTCTGATTCTAGAGTAGGTGAAAGGTGGTGCATATGTGTAGATTTGTTTAGTTTTTGCAACATACATCCACTTAGGAGCTATGAGGCCCTCAGAATGATACTAAGATTATGCCATGCTTTTGGTCTGTTCGTCAGGAGGAGTGGTACTTTATATGAATAAACACCATTGTACATCCAGTCATCATTATGAAATAATTACAAGACAGAAATATTCTATAGTGGACCATGATTAGATTTGCGGACTCGAATCTACTTCGAATGAAGTCATCACATGATTGATAAAACTCTCATAGATCAATAGAACAAAGTAGGGGATTGCTTGTTTTCATCCTTCATCGACGCAGGAGCTGTTGAGATGATACACAAATTTTTATGCGAAGAATAGTTCTGCCTTTGAACGAGTGGTCAGAGATAAAAGTAAAACAAATATATGTACATGATGAATCCACCAATTTTAATCGCTACATCTATTATTACGCGGTTGATCAACACGAAAGAATACCTACCAACTCTTACTGGATTTCTGATCATAAATGTTTTGGTCTAATTTTTCCCAGGTTTGGTATCTTATTTCAAGATTTCCCCTAATATTGTTTTAATGGATACCTTACCACAGGTAACTTTAAAAACGTGTGTTTTTTGTTATTTTCTTGAACAAATGCTTCTTTGATATGACAATTAAAGCATTGTTAGTTGTATAATTTGATGCAGTGAAATATGTTTGTAAATGTTTATTGGGCTTATGAGATTTTAATGCAATAATTCATTTATCAGTTGCCGATCTTTGACATTACAGTACAGGGAAAATCTAGGAAGGTGATATGTCTTATCTAACATTGACAAAGACACAGTTTATAATACTATTTTCTCTGCATAGGGAGATGTTGGTATCCAAGGGTACCGAAAGCCTGTATTATAATGAACTCTTTGATCAGAATTGAAGTAATATTAATGGTAGTATGAGATATAAAGTTGTCTGTTAGTTGGCCTTAACCATATCATGTAACTCAGGAACTAAGGAATTCTCCTGAGCCTTGTTAGGAAACCATAAAGCCTGTTTGGTAGATTATAAGTCATAATAAAGGAGGGCCCGCGAAATCACAGACCCTCAATGGTCGTGACCCCTCTGCCATCACACACCTACCCCGGGGATATAAGTTCTGGAACCTCTGGTGCGGTCTGACCAACCGACAACGCGACGACAAGATGTATAAGCACGGCACAAAAGCCTTGCTTTTCCTGCGATACTTTGCACCAGTGACATCCACAGCAGAGAATAGTTGGACTCAGACGTAATTATCTGCATGTACACCCAGGATCGCAACATCTTTTTCATTCATCTTCCTTGTTGGATCCCGGCCTGGTAATCGTGTACTTGGGATAATAGATTCTAGAAGAACTTAAACAGAGTTAACGGCTAAACAAGGGCACGTCTTACTATTATTTTATGCTTTATACGCTGCTTGAGTTGTCTGTCTCTTTACTCTCAGTTCATCGTGGCTGTATCAGTATGTGAATAGTATGATTTTGAATTAACTGAGGATTCTACTGTAAGATTGAATCTGTCAGTTTACATATTCTACGACGCATAGGATAGAAATCATTGAATTGAATTTGAATGCTTCACACGCAGAACACCTTGTCTTTTGCATACATTACTCCCTTTTTAACGGCACCGTTAATCTAAAATGCACACACACACATATTTGGTCTAAGTAACAGACACATGGAGGAGATCAAGACTCGCACAGCTCTTTCCTCCTCTCATACTTTGCTTCATAGATATCCTCTCAGGCGCCACATGGCTATTAAGCCTTTTAAGACGCTACGCATTCTACAGACATCACATCACTACAACTACACACACACTACATCACAACGACACACAGTGTCTGTAGAACTTTAGTGAGGTTTTCTCATTTTTATTCTCCCCTACTGAGCGAGATTGTATATTTAAGTGTAATTTTTCCTCTGTTTAAGTCATTTATATATAATCAATATGGTATAAAATAGTTCTATTATAGTTCAAGTGTATTTACTTGATAGATGTGCTAGAGCCTTTAGCATTCTACTAGCATCGTAGCAAGAGTGATTGATACAACCTCTTCTATGATTGACACCAATAAGCTCCGTCTAGCTATTATTAATATGATTTGGTTCAGTTGAGGTAATTTTGTAATTGATGCCATATTACTCTGATTTCTAGATTAGACTAGTGTATGAGAAGAGATGATGAAGAATTAATATTATGGAGAACTCAAGACAATGCTAATTGACATTGTATACTGGAGGTTAAAAATCAGATCTATGCGCGGGATATATATAGTTAATGGTCGGGGTGCCTACCGAGATAATTTAGACTTATAATAAAGTCAATATTAATCTATATAGATCTTTGTGATACAATTTTAGCAGACATAGTTTAGATAACATTAAATTGGCATTTGTAGAGAGATATTTAAGTTTAACGTCATCATTAGATATATCGATCCATACACCCTGAATGCAACGGATGCGTGGGGAGTGCCAGACACTAAATTGATGACTTTATTATATTATTGATTTCTTTTGTAAATACTTTGTATAAGTATTGGTCTGTGTCACATTCCAAGGTAATCGCAGCATTTCTTGAGAAATGTTTTTGTGCTTGACAGTGGTCGCCTGTTTTTAATATCATTCTGAGAATACAAGTTGTATTATTTCACTTACCCTTATGGTTTATTGCAATGTAGATAGTTTTTTTCTTTTCTCCCAGTTTTGGAGATACAGTCTCAGAGATTTCTGCTCCACACCAGTTCAGTGGAAGTGAATGGGGATTTCATTGAATAACCAAATATGCTTAAAGATGCAGACAATAACAACCCTAATCTCCAAGAGCCTAAAAAGAAATCAACCAGAACAAAATAAAAACGCAAACATAAAAAAGTGGATAATATCTACTTATATTTTAGGATTGGTTAATGCAAATAAAACAGGCTTTCTTATTCTACCTCTAGTATCACTCATGCTTAGAGATACAGTATCCCTTCTCTACCCACAATACATGGAGGTCAATGAAAGTTGATGTGCTTCATTACAAGTTTGTACAGACTAGATTTTGAAAAACGGAAGTATTTGTTTTTCTCCTCTTCCCAGAAACAAATATCCTCTTCACATAACAAAGCCAACGCCTAAAGAGGATGTTGGTTATGGTTTTATTGCAGATAATGGATAAAGGTGAACCAATATGATGAACTGTAGAAGGATAGAAGGGTCCGTTAGGTTCGAGGAATTAAGGGGAATGGGAAGGAAGGGTAGGGATGAATGGATGGGGGAGATCATGTTTTGGACGTATGGGAATGTAATGGATGGAGGAGTTGGGCGAGATGATGGGGGGAACCGAGTGGGTGTTGAGATCTTGAGCTGGGGGGGAGCAGTCTCTTCTTAATTTCTTTATTTAGAGCCCCAGTGGTTCCCTGTATTTGAAAGATGAGAGAGGAGAGAGAGAGGAGAGAGAGAGAGAGAGAGAGAG